GGCCCCATAGTCCATAGCCCACGAACCTCCTACGCCCACGTCTTCGCCTCGGTTGTATTCCTTGGCTTCATAGTTCCTACGCCCACAGTCCCCGTTACACTTAGGTTACATCCTCTATAGCCAACCGATACAACACTACCTTGCTTAGCTCTGGTCGCGACTATGTCCGACATCACTCAGGATATGCTGTTACAGCGTCTTTCAGAATTTCTGACCACCTATGGTCCCCTCCCAGCCGATATAGACTTCGGCGAAGAACTTACGGAGGCTCATAGTCTTATTGCTGGGTGTTTGGAGGCTCTCACCAAGTCTCTTGACACCCCCGCGCCACTAGAACCCGTTATCGACACGGCTCAGGAAGAGGTCATTGCCGGCCTCACTACAGAACTAGAAGCAGCCAATGAAAAGGCTGCCGATTTTTGGCAAACCTTGTGCGATAACCAGGAAGATTCTACCGAAATCATCCGAGGTCGCGACAAGGTTATCGTTGCTTTGAAGATTGAGCTGGAGGAATCGAAGGTTGAAGAAGAAGAGCTTCGGTTCCGTCTGGCACTACACCAGGAAAGTCTCGCCACTGCCGACGAGAACCTCGCTGATGCTGAAGATGAAATTCTTCACATCACCTCTGTTGCAAAAGCTTGGGAGGCCCAAGCCAATGCCACCATTGCTGACCTTCGTTCTCGTATCTCCGTTTCCACCGCTACAGTTAAATCTCGCCATGTTTCCAAGCCTCGTTACCTTGCTCCTTGCGCCCAAGATCCCCGTTCCATTAGCAATTGGCGAGAAAGGCCACTTGAAAATGGGTCCCCAAAGCCGGCGTTAAAAGGTCAGCCCCTTTGGTAAAAAATGGCAAACCAAAGGGGCTAGCCCCGCCACCTGTTCCTGTTGTCCCTGTTGTCTCCGCTGTCTCCGCTGCTGCCGTATCTGAGGACGAGATGGCCGAAGACTCTCTTGTCGTTACCTGCTCGGTTTCTCAGAATTCTGACTCTTTTATACCTACCTATGCCCTTATTGATACCGGAGCCTCTGGATATGCTTTTATCGACGAATCTTTTGTACGCCATAATAATCTTACAATGACCCGCCTTAAAGTACCTCGTCAGGTAGATGTTATGGATGGGAGGCCTATTGAATCAGGAAAGATCACCCATATTGTCATTGTGTTGCTGGATATCCATGGTCATCGGGAAACTGCATCATGTTTTGTAACGAAGCTAGGACACTATCCAATTGTGATGGGAATACCTTGGATGCGACGTCACGATGTTACGATTCGGCCGAAGGAAAATTTACTTGTTTTTGACTCTCGAAGCTGTTGTCAACACTGTTCACTCAGTGGAACGACAGTCACTGTCCATGGAATATCGATCCCCCTACCGGAATATCATACTGTTGTCGTTTCAGCAGTTGAGAAATCCACCATTGACGTCAAGCAACTAGTACCAAAGGAGTTCCACCATCGTCTCCACATGTTTAAAGAATACGATGCCTCAGTCCTTCCACCTCACCGACCCTCCCATGATATTGAAATAATTTTGGAAGAGGGTAAACGACCACCGTATGGACCCATCTATGGCCTGTCGCAGACTGAATTGAAAGCATTACGGGAATACCTTGATGAGAACTTACCCAAAGGATTTATTCGGGCCAGTGAATCACCGGCGGGAGCACCTATACTATTCGTAAAGAAAAGTGATGGGACTCTCCGGCTATGTGTGGATTACCGAGGCCTCAATGCGATTACGGTTAAAAATCGGTATCCGTTACCACTGTTAAAGGAAACTTTGGCTAAACTTTCGAAGGCACAGTACTATACCAAGTTAGATCTACGTTGGGGGTATAATCAGATTAGGGTAGCAGAAGGGGACGAATGGAAAACGGCATTCAGGACTCGATATGGACATTTCGAGTATACAGTAATGCCATTTGGATTAGCGAATGCCCCTGCTACATTTCAACATTGGATCAATGATATACTACGTCCCTATCTCGACCAATTTGTAACGGCATATCTGGATGATATTTTGATTTATTCGGAGACCCTATTGGAACACAAGGAGCATATTCAGAAGGTTCTGAAGGTACTTGATGAGAATCATGTCCATCTTAAACCCGAAAAATGCGAATTTATGGTTCAGGAAACAAAGTATCTTGGCCTTATTCTCACCCCGGATGGGAATAGGATGGATCCAAAGAAGGTTATCGATGTTTTGGAATGGTCCACACCAAGGAACCTCCACGATGTTCAAGTATTTTTGGGATTTGCAAACTTCTACCGACGGTTTATTCTGGGATACTCAAAAATTGTTGCTCCGCTTACAGCTCTGACCAAGAAAAATGTCAAATTCGAATGGACGGATGAAAGGGAGGGAGCATTCCAGACATTGAAAAAGATGTTTACAACGGCACCCATATTAATGCACTTTGATCCGGATCGAAAAATCGTGGTAGAAACCGATGCATCCGACTATGTTTCCGCCGGAATTCTGTCCCAACGCGACGATGAGGGAATTTTACATCCAGTTGCTTTCTTTTCTAAAAAGCATTCCCCGGCGGAATGTAACTATGAAATCTATGATAAAGAACTCCTAGCAATTGTACGATGTTTTGAGGAATGGCGACACCATCTAGAGGGAGCGCAATTTCCAATCGAAGTCCTCAGCGATCATAGAAACCTGGAATATTTTATGTCAACAAAGTTATTAAACCGTCGACAAGCCCGTTGGTCGGAATTTCTTTCACGTTTCGATTTCGTTATTCAATTTAGACCAGGGAAACAAGGGTTAAAGCCGGATGCATTGACTAGGAGGTCGGGTGACCTACCTAAGGAGGGGGATGAACGGTTGACGCATCAAAGCCAGGTGGTTTTGAAGCGAAAAAATTTGGATTCAAAGCTAAGTTTGTTCGCGGGTTCTTTTTCAAATGAATCCGCTGAAGGAATGTCCACTGTAGAAGAGTTGTTCTCAAATGCTTACCAAGTTGACAGTTTCCCGAACAAAGTACTCGTGATGCTTCGGAACGGTGTCCGTCACTCGAATAAGATCTCGCTTGCCGATTGCATGGAAGATAACAACGGTCGGCTACTTTATCGTGGCGCACTCTATGTACCGGATGACGATGATCTTCGGCTGAGACTTCTAAAAGAATACCATGATAACCCATCGGCAGGCCATCCAGGCAGAGCAAAGACTTTGGAACTCCTGAATCGAGAATACTACTGGCCACGAATGCGAAATTATGTCGATCAGTATGTTAGGAATTGCAATTTGTGTGCCCGTAGCAAGGCATCACGCAATGCGCCCTATGGAGTACTCCGACCTATGCCAATACCTGATGGACCATGGATGGATGTATCGATGGATTTTGTCACAGACCTTCCGGAGAGTGATGGGTACAATGCAATTCTAGTTGTGGTGGATAGACTAACCAAAATGCGACATTTCATACCCACAACTAAAGAGGCGGATTCAAAAGAAGTAGCGAGGTTATATATCGATAATGTTTGGAAATTACATGGACTCCCTGAAACTATGGTATCTGATCGAGGAACACAATTTGTTGCGGAATTCTGGAGGTCCCTTTGCGATCGTTTGGAAATATCGCCAAAATTCTCTACAGCGTTTCACCCTCAGACGGATGGACAAACGGAAAGAATCAATGCTGTGATGGAACAATACCTTCGAAGTTATGTTTCTTATCAACAGGACGACTGGGTTCGATGGTTGCCAATAGCCGAGTTTGCAACAAATAACCATGCTTCTGAAACAACGAGAATCTCTCCATTTTACGCCAACTCAGGGAGGAATCCAAGAATGACTTTTGGTCCTTTGGAACATGGTAGGACGACAGCGGAGGATCAGGCCAATAGTATTGCAAGGGAGATGAAGAATATATTGGATTTTCTAAAGGATGAATTATTTCGAGCGCAAAGGATTCAAGAAGAGTCCGCCAATATACGTCGAACTCCAGCACCTCACTATCGAGTAGGAGATCGAGTTTTCTTATCAACACGCCATGTCCTCACCAAACGACCATCGAAGAAACTTGATTGGAAACGCATTGGACCATATATCGTGAAGCGGATCGTTAGTCCTTATGCCTATGAGTTGGAACTCCCTCGTTCCATGAAAGTTCATCCCGTATTCCATGTCTCTTTATTGTCGTCTACAGCAAACGATCCTTTACCAGGACAACAACAGTTACCACCACCGCCGGTCGAAGTTGAAGGACAGGAGGAGTGGGAAGTCGAGGATATTTTGGATTCCAGGGATCGTCGGGGAAGATTTGAATACTTGGTTAAGTATGCCGGTTATGACGAAGCTTCGTGGCAGCCATTGTCGGATGTCGAACATTCGCCCGATATTGTCAAACGATTTCACAAACGATATCCACGGAAGCCTAAGCCTACCAGGAGGTAGGCCCTAGAGGGGGGAGTGGTCTGTAACGGCAGCCATGTGGTTTGGTTATGCGAGGTGTTAGGGTATGAAGAGGAAGGGTTATGCAGTGTGGTTGGGTTTAGCGAAGCGGGTTTCTATTATGTTCTTTCTGTTTCTGTTACGCGAGAGTATGAGTCAGCATTGGGATAGGGCATGGATATATAAGGGGGGCGTTGTCTCGTGATTTCTTGTTTCTCTTTCTTTTCCTTTCCTCTTTATGTAACCTCTGTACTTTACAGTTACGAATACTATTTGGTTCGCGCTACGTCATAGGGTTTACCCGGTATACTAGACCAGGTACAACCATCCATAGTCCATAGTCCACAGTCTCCGTTCTTGCCTTAGGTCTACCCTTCGGCCCCATAGTCCATAGTCCACGATCCCGCCTTGGTAGCATACCTCGGCCCCATAGTCCATAGCCCACGAACCTCCTACGCCCACGTCTTCGCCTCGGTTGTATTCCTTGGCTTCATAGTTCCTACGCCCACAGTCCCCGTTACACTTAGGTTACATCCTCTATAGCCAACCGATACAACACTACCTTGCTTAGCTCTGGTCGCGACTATGTCCGACATCACTCAGGATATGCTGTTACAGCGTCTTTCAGAATTTCTGACCACCTATGGTCCCCTCCCAGCCGATATAGACTTCGGCGAAGAACTTACGGAGGCTCATAGTCTTATTGCTGGGTGTTTGGAGGCTCTCACCAAGTCTCTTGACACCCCCGCGCCACTAGAACCCGTTATCGACACGGCTCAGGAAGAGGTCATTGCGGCCTCACTACAGAACTAGAAGCAGCCAATGAAAAGGCTGCCGATTTTTGGCAAACCTTGTGCGATAACCAGGAAGATTCTACCGAAATCATCCGAGGTCGCGACAAGGTTATCGTTGCTTTGAAGATTGAGCTGGAGGAATCGAAGGTTGAAGAAGAAGAGCTTCGGTTCCGTCTGGCACTACACCAGGAAAGTCTCGCCACTGCCGACGAGAACCTCGCTGATGCTGAAGATGAAATTCTTCACATCACCTCTGTTGCAAAAGCTTGGGAGGCCCAAGCCAATGCCACCATTGCTGACCTTCGTTCTCGTATCTCCGTTTCCACCGCTACAGTTAAATCTCGCCATGTTTCCAAGCCTCGTTACCTTGCTCCTTGCGCCCAAGATCCCCGTTCCATTAGCAATTGGCGAGAAAGGCCACTTGAAAATGGGTCCCCAAAGCCGGCGTTAAAAGGTCAGCCCCTTTGGTAAAAAATGGCAAACCAAAGGGGCTAGCCCCGCCACCTGTTCCTGTTGTCCCTGTTGTCTCCGCTGTCTCCGCTGCTGCCGTATCTGAGGACGAGATGGCCGAAGACTCTCTTGTCGTTACCTGCTCGGTTTCTCAGAATTCTGACTCTTTTATACCTACCTATGCCCTTATTGATACCGGAGCCTCTGGATATGCTTTTATCGACGAATCTTTTGTACGCCATAATAATCTTACAATGACCCGCCTTAAAGTACCTCGTCAGGTAGATGTTATGGATGGGAGGCCTATTGAATCAGGAAAGATCACCCATATTGTCATTGTGTTGCTGGATATCCATGGTCATCGGGAAACTGCATCATGTTTTGTAACGAAGCTAGGACACTATCCAATTGTGATGGGAATACCTTGGATGCGACGTCACGATGTTACGATTCGGCCGAAGGAAAATTTACTTGTTTTTGACTCTCGAAGCTGTTGTCAACACTGTTCACTCAGTGGAACGACAGTCACTGTCCATGGAATATCGATCCCCCTACCGGAATATCATACTGTTGTCGTTTCAGCAGTTGAGAAATCCACCATTGACGTCAAGCAACTAGTACCAAAGGAGTTCCACCATCGTCTCCACATGTTTAAAGAATACGATGCCTCAGTCCTTCCACCTCACCGACCCTCCCATGATATTGAAATAATTTTGGAAGAGGGTAAACGACCACCGTATGGACCCATCTATGGCCTGTCGCAGACTGAATTGAAAGCATTACGGGAATACCTTGATGAGAACTTACCCAAAGGATTTATTCGGGCCAGTGAATCACCGGCGGGAGCACCTATACTATTCGTAAAGAAAAGTGATGGGACTCTCCGGCTATGTGTGGATTACCGAGGCCTCAATGCGATTACGGTTAAAAATCGGTATCCGTTACCACTGTTAAAGGAAACTTTGGCTAAACTTTCGAAGGCACAGTACTATACCAAGTTAGATCTACGTTGGGGGTATAATCAGATTAGGGTAGCAGAAGGGGACGAATGGAAAACGGCATTCAGGACTCGATATGGACATTTCGAGTATACAGTAATGCCATTTGGATTAGCGAATGCCCCTGCTACATTTCAACATTGGATCAATGATATACTACGTCCCTATCTCGACCAATTTGTAACGGCATATCTGGATGATATTTTGATTTATTCGGAGACCCTATTGGAACACAAGGAGCATATTCAGAAGGTTCTGAAGGTACTTGATGAGAATCATGTCCATCTTAAACCCGAAAAATGCGAATTTATGGTTCAGGAAACAAAGTATCTTGGCCTTATTCTCACCCCGGATGGGAATAGGATGGATCCAAAGAAGGTTATCGATGTTTTGGAATGGTCCACACCAAGGAACCTCCACGATGTTCAAGTATTTTTGGGATTTGCAAACTTCTACCGACGGTTTATTCTGGGATACTCAAAAATTGTTGCTCCGCTTACAGCTCTGACCAAGAAAAATGTCAAATTCGAATGGACGGATGAAAGGGAGGGAGCATTCCAGACATTGAAAAAGATGTTTACAACGGCACCCATATTAATGCACTTTGATCCGGATCGAAAAATCGTGGTAGAAACCGATGCATCCGACTATGTTTCCGCCGGAATTCTGTCCCAACGCGACGATGAGGGAATTTTACATCCAGTTGCTTTCTTTTCTAAAAAGCATTCCCCGGCGGAATGTAACTATGAAATCTATGATAAAGAACTCCTAGCAATTGTACGATGTTTTGAGGAATGGCGACACCATCTAGAGGGAGCGCAATTTCCAATCGAAGTCCTCAGCGATCATAGAAACCTGGAATATTTTATGTCAACAAAGTTATTAAACCGTCGACAAGCCCGTTGGTCGGAATTTCTTTCACGTTTCGATTTCGTTATTCAATTTAGACCAGGGAAACAAGGGTTAAAGCCGGATGCATTGACTAGGAGGTCGGGTGACCTACCTAAGGAGGGGGATGAACGGTTGACGCATCAAAGCCAGGTGGTTTTGAAGCGAAAAAATTTGGATTCAAAGCTAAGTTTGTTCGCGGGTTCTTTTTCAAATGAATCCGCTGAAGGAATGTCCACTGTAGAAGAGTTGTTCTCAAATGCTTACCAAGTTGACAGTTTCCCGAACAAAGTACTCGTGATGCTTCGGAACGGTGTCCGTCACTCGAATAAGATCTCGCTTGCCGATTGCATGGAAGATAACAACGGTCGGCTACTTTATCGTGGCGCACTCTATGTACCGGATGACGATGATCTTCGGCTGAGACTTCTAAAAGAATACCATGATAACCCATCGGCAGGCCATCCAGGCAGAGCAAAGACTTTGGAACTCCTGAATCGAGAATACTACTGGCCACGAATGCGAAATTATGTCGATCAGTATGTTAGGAATTGCAATTTGTGTGCCCGTAGCAAGGCATCACGCAATGCGCCCTATGGAGTACTCCGACCTATGCCAATACCTGATGGACCATGGATGGATGTATCGATGGATTTTGTCACAGACCTTCCGGAGAGTGATGGGTACAATGCAATTCTAGTTGTGGTGGATAGACTAACCAAAATGCGACATTTCATACCCACAACTAAAGAGGCGGATTCAAAAGAAGTAGCGAGGTTATATATCGATAATGTTTGGAAATTACATGGACTCCCTGAAACTATGGTATCTGATCGAGGAACACAATTTGTTGCGGAATTCTGGAGGTCCCTTTGCGATCGTTTGGAAATATCGCCAAAATTCTCTACAGCGTTTCACCCTCAGACGGATGGACAAACGGAAAGAATCAATGCTGTGATGGAACAATACCTTCGAAGTTATGTTTCTTATCAACAGGACGACTGGGTTCGATGGTTGCCAATAGCCGAGTTTGCAACAAATAACCATGCTTCTGAAACAACGAGAATCTCTCCATTTTACGCCAACTCAGGGAGGAATCCAAGAATGACTTTTGGTCCTTTGGAACATGGTAGGACGACAGCGGAGGATCAGGCCAATAGTATTGCAAGGGAGATGAAGAATATATTGGATTTTCTAAAGGATGAATTATTTCGAGCGCAAAGGATTCAAGAAGAGTCCGCCAATATACGTCGAACTCCAGCACCTCACTATCGAGTAGGAGATCGAGTTTTCTTATCAACACGCCATGTCCTCACCAAACGACCATCGAAGAAACTTGATTGGAAACGCATTGGACCATATATCGTGAAGCGGATCGTTAGTCCTTATGCCTATGAGTTGGAACTCCCTCGTTCCATGAAAGTTCATCCCGTATTCCATGTCTCTTTATTGTCGTCTACAGCAAACGATCCTTTACCAGGACAACAACAGTTACCACCACCGCCGGTCGAAGTTGAAGGACAGGAGGAGTGGGAAGTCGAGGATATTTTGGATTCCAGGGATCGTCGGGGAAGATTTGAATACTTGGTTAAGTATGCCGGTTATGACGAAGCTTCGTGGCAGCCATTGTCGGATGTCGAACATTCGCCCGATATTGTCAAACGATTTCACAAACGATATCCACGGAAGCCTAAGCCTACCAGGAGGTAGGCCCTAGAGGGGGGAGTGGTCTGTAACGGCAGCCATGTGGTTTGGTTATGCGAGGTGTTAGGGTATGAAGAGGAAGGGTTATGCAGTGTGGTTGGGTTTAGCGAAGCGGGTTTCTATTATGTTCTTTCTGTTTCTGTTACGCGAGAGTATGAGTCAGCATTGGGATAGGGCATGGATATATAAGGGGGGCGTTGTCTCGTGATTTCTTGTTTCTCTTTCTTTTCCTTTCCTCTTTATGTAACCTCTGTACTTTACAGTTACGAATACTATTTGGTTCGCGCTACGTCATAGGGTTTACCCGGTATACTAGACCAGGTACAACCATCCATAGTCCATAGTCCACAGTCTCCGTTCTTGCCTTAGGTCTACCCTTCGGCCCCATAGTCCATAGTCCACGATCCCGCCTTGGTAGCATACCTCGGCCCCATAGTCCATAGCCCACGAACCTCCTACGCCCACGTCTTCGCCTCGGTTGTATTCCTTGGCTTCATAGTTCCTACGCCCACAGTCCCCGTTACATTTGGCTAGTCAGTGAATGACACAGTATTTATATCCCTCGCTTATGTCTCGAGGACCCAATCTACTAATAATACAGAATACACTCGGGGCATGCCCGAGACCCTGAAAAACAACCAAGAACATTTAACTCCTAAGTCCGTAACCCAAACTCCTAAAGCCGCTAAAACCCCTCAACCTTTTTATCCACTCTAATGCACGTTTCCCTGTCGATATTTCTTCCCCATCGCCCGTCTGGTGGATAATCGTCAGCGTCGGCTATTCGGAGGTCTCGGACGGCAAGGCTACCTACTCAGGCCTCTTCCCACATCGCTTTCCCACATAGCAGAGTCCTCTCATGCCCACAGGTACCGCCGATAGGTACTCGGTCGGCTGGCAGCTTGCGCCGATTCGCTCCGAGCGGTCCGATCTTCGATCCGATTGATTCCAGCTGTCCCTCATATATCCACCGGTACCAAAACACTCCCCTCCGGCGGTTTGACGCTCCGGGGGTTATTATTGGGGTCGAAAACGTGTTTTTTATGACTCTGGGTTTTTGGTCGTAATTTGGTCGCACCACACTCCGCGAGTGTGGTCAAGAGTTGATATTAGCATACAGAGGGTATTGGGGTATCTACTAGCCTTTCTCTCACTCACGTAAATGCTTGGCATGCCCGTAACACGCGGTGTCTGTGGAGGGGAAGGACTTAGCCCCGTAGGGTACCTCTGTAGTCTCAGACGTTGGTCCCTCACGGCCTTGGGGTTCCTTCGATGAAAGTCGCGGACTAGATCGAGTACGTCTTCGTCTATAACGTCCATGACTTGGTAAGTACAGTCGCTCATCGAATAGCCCCGCCATTTCACCAGGTATTCCACTAATCCTCTTCTACTCTTCCGGCTTCCCACAATACTTTCCACTTCGTACAGAACCTCTCCTTCCTTATCGACCTCTTCGGGAGTTGGGGGACATTGTTCGCGGCCTGGAATATTGCTCTGTCGGTAACGTTCCAATAGTTCAATGTGGAACACGTTATGGATCTTGACTTGTGGTGGCAGTTCCAGTTCGCAGGCTCGTTTACCGGCTAGTCGGATAATCTTGAACGGGGCGAGTTTCTTATGATCGAGTTTCTTGGTAGAGCGACGTATCTTGATATTGGCCGCATTAAGCATGACCATGTCGCCTATTTTGAAGTTCGGCGGTTCGTCCCTTTTCCGATCATAGTATTTCCCCATTTTCTCCCTAGTGTCTGTTAAGCGAGCGAGAGCAGAGTCGTGAACTCCTCGGATGAAGTGAGCGTACAGGTCACTGGTTGGGTTGACCACTTCAGCTTGCGTCGGCCAGTTGGTTCTTGGGTTGTAACCGTAATTGGTATAGAACGGAGATTGACCCGTGGCGGTGGTAACCGAGTTGTTGTAAGCATACTCCGCCAACGGGAGTAGCTCTGCCCAATCATCTTGCTCGTAGTTACAGAACGCTCGTAAGTAGTGCTCGAAGGTTTGGTTGACTCGCTCTGTTTGCCCATCGGTCTGAGGGTGGAAAGCCGTACTCATTCTTATCCTCACATCCAATAATTCCATAAGGGATGCCCAAAAGCTTGAAGTAAACTTGGCGTCCCTGTCGGAAACTATATCAAGAGGTAGCCCATGGAGTCGCCAGATTTGACCGAGGAATATCTTCGCTAAATCCTGCGCGGTCGTTTCTGCTACTAGGGGGATGAAGTGCGACATCTTTGAGAACCTATCGACTACTACCCAAATTTGGTTATATCCCTTGGATTCCAGTAACTGCACAATAAAGTCCATTGATATCGATTGCCAGACAGAATGTGGTGTGGACAGTGGTAGAAGTGCACCGTATTTCTTGTGGCGGCTGGGTTTTGTGAGGGATGCGTACCAGACCACAAGAGTACACTACGCAGAGCTCAGAGTTCGGCTAACAGCTACAAAGGTAGAAGTCTCCAAGGTCTCTTCAGTCAACGTCGAGTATAATTCTCCTTGATCCGATACGGGCCCCGCGAGCTACGTTATCAACAAAGATTCACTAGAGTTAGCGTGTGATGTTCGACCGTCTTCGACGCAATAGTTCAGGTAGAGTTCGAAGTCACAATAGAATAAAGTATTTCCAAAAGTATAGTCAAATAAAGTTGTAACTCGCGTATCAACGATTTATATTGTTAAGACTCTGATTTCGCCGATGATGGTTTGGCTAGTCAGTGAATGACACAGTATTTATATCCCTCGCTTATGTCTCGAGGACCCAGTCTACTAATAATACAGAATACACTCGGGGCATGCCCGAGACCCTGAAAAACAACCAAGAACATTTAACTCCTAAGTCCGTAACCCAAACTCCTAAACCCGCTGGAACCCCTCAACCTATTTATCCGTTCTAATGCACGTTTCCCTGTCGATGTTTCTTCTCCATCGGCCGTCTGGTGGATAATCTTCAGCGTCGGCTATTCGGAGGTCTCGGACGGCAAGGCTACCTACTCAGGCCTCTTCCCACATCGCTTTCCCACATAGCAGAGTCCTCTCATGCCCACAGGTACCGCCGATAGGTAGTCGGTCGGCTGGCAGCTTGCGCCGATTCGCTCCGAGCGGTCCGATCTTCGATCCGATTGATTCCAGCTGTCCCTCATATATCCACCGGTACCACAACACTCCCCTCCGGCGGTTTGACGCTCCGGGGGTTATTATTGGGGTCGAAAACGTGTTTTTTATGACTCCGTGTTTTGATCGTATATTGGTCGCACCACACTCCGCGAGTGCGGTCCAGAGATGACATTAGCGTACAGAGGGTATTGGAGTATCTACTGGCCTTTTCTCTCACTTCCGTAAATACTTGGCATGCCCGTAACAGCTTACCCCCCTTCCAGGGTGTCACGTCTCGGGACATCTTCTGATAGACTATGGTTCCAGTAAACCTGCTCCACATATCACCCGCGGTGTCTGTGGAGGGGAAGGACTTAGCCCCGTAGGGTACCTCTATAGTCTCAGGCATTGGTCCTTCACGGCCTTGGAGTTCCTTCGATGAAAATCGCAGACTAAGTCACGTACCTCCTCATCCATAGCATCTAGGACTTGGTACGTGCAGTCGCTCATCGAATAGCCCCGCCATTTCACCAGGTATTCCACTAATCCTCTTCTGCTCTTCCGGCTCCCCACAATACTTTCCACTTCATACAGAACCTCTCCTTCCTTATCGACCTCTTCGGTAGTCGGGGGACGTTGTTCGCGGCCTGGGATACTGCTCTGTCGATAACGTTCCAAGAGTTCGATGTGGAATACGTTATGGATCTTAACTTGTGGTGGCAGTTCCAATTCGCAGGCTCGTTTACCGGCTAGTCGGACAATTTTAAACGGGCCGAGTTTCTTATGATCGAGTTTCTTGGTTGAGCGACGAGTCTTGATGTTGGTTGCGTTGAGCATAACCATGTCTCCCACCTTGAAGTTAGGCGGTTCGTCCCTTTTCCGATCATAGTATTTCCCCATCTTCTCCCTGGTGTCTGTTAAGCGAGCAAGAGCAGAATCATGAACTCCTCGGATGAAGTGAGCGTACAGGTCGCTGGTTGGATTGACCACTTCGGCTTCCGTCGGCCAGTTGGTTCTTGGGTTGTAACCGTAATTGGTATAGAACGGAGATTGACCCGTGGCGGTGGTAACCGAATTGTTGTAAGCATACTCCGCCAACGGGAGTAGCTCTGCCCAATCATCTTGCTCGTAGTTGCAGAATGCTCGTAAGTAGTGCTCGAGGGTTTGGTTGACCCGCTCTGTTTGCCCATCGGTCTGAGGGTGGAAAGCCGTACTCATTCTTATCCTCACGTCCAATAATTCCATAAGAGATGCCCAAAAGCTTGAAGTAAACTTGGCGTCTCTGTCGGAAACTATATCAAGAGGCAGCCCATGGAGTCGCCAGATTTGACCGAGGAATATCTTCGCTAAATCCTGCGCGGTCGTTTCTGCTACTAGGGGGATGAAGTGCGACATCTTCGAGAACCTATCGACTACTACCCAGATTTGGTTGTATCCCTTTGATTCCGGTAATTGCACAATGAAGTCCATTGATATCGATTGCCAGACAGAATGTGGCGTGGACAGTGGTAGAAGCGCGCCGTATTTCTTATGGCGGCTGGGTTTGTTGCGCTGGCACTCGTCACATGACCGAACGTAATCATCAATCCACTCGTTCATTTTTGGCCAATAGAAGTTGCGCGTAATAAGTTCCAAAGTTTTGTCTTGTCCAAAGTGTCCTGCCACCTTCGAATCGTGTTCTGCCTGTGCGATTCGGATCTTGATACGGTCGTCTGCCGGAATATAGAGTCGGTTCTTATAGAAGAGTAGCCCGTCTTTCTCAGCGATATCCTTCAATTCCCCCAACTTCTCCCCTTGCTCAACTCTCTCTTTCATTCCTACCCATGTCGGGTCTCCCGATGCCGCCTGCCTGACATGATCCAGAAAGTTCTTAGACCAGTCAATCACCCCCTTGGAGGCAAGCGACACCGTTG